TTTGAGCCAGAGGGAGGCTCTGGAAACAAGCCACAGTGATGAGGTGTAATAAAATTTGCGTTTCTGCAAATATTGGTTGAAATCTGAGTATGTGTCCTGTGTCAATATGATCTCTTAAAGGTGGTTGCTCCAAACTGACAAAACTCCTGCTTTTTGAAAGGTTATGATCAGTCAATCAATGCATTTTATCATCAACTCCTGGCTGATACTGAACCGCTTAAATACTATAGAAGCAGCGGGAGTGCAGTTGGAAAATGTGTGTAAAAATCTATTTTGGCTGCTTTTGATTTATTTTTAATAAATGACATGGTGGAATCTGATGTGTGTTTTTGAACATTTGAGGTTAAAATAAAAAAAATTAGACCTGGTAAAACCACATAACTTTTATTGTGTTCTGCTACATAAAGCCTAGACTGAAAACAATGAAGCAAAACAAATGTGAAGTCATTTTTTTTATTTCTTCCAAGTGATTATTTCTCCCCTTGATTTGAAAAAGTGTGCTATTTGCCTAGTTTAACAAGTTTCTGGATGTTGGTTATCTGCAGTGAGTTGTTTTAGTTTAATAACTGCCAGCAGCTCTGCTGACCTCACATCTTTTATAAAATCTTTTGAAAACAAGTTAATGCTGTTTAACTTGTTGAAATGTTTCCAGAATAGCTTAAATTGGAATGTTAAAGTAAAGTGGAGTAGGCCAGCAGAATTTGCTAAAGTTGGCTTTTTTTTATGCTTCAAGTCATTCCCACTCACATGTCTATTATTAGTGTTTTTTCCCTCTTATTTTCAGTGAAAGTCACAGAGCTTAGAGTCGTGTTCCTCAAAGTTATCGGACAAAAAAAAAAAAGATTAATGCATTCAAGTTGCATATGTGAAATACCTCGAGCATGCGCACAAAAAGAATGTATGCACACACATCTAATATTTGCTTGGAATGCACTGGGGTCTAGTAACGCAACGAGGATGGAAAACAGAGTGAGGGAAGGCAGGAAGGGAAATGGTGGTGGTGGTGGTGTGGGGGGTGGGGGGCTTCTAAAGGGGAAAGAGATCAGTGGAAAGAATATGAATGAAAACGAGGGGCACAGAAACTATAAATCTGGAGATGATGGCCTGAAATCAGTCGATCTGATCTGGAGTGAGTCTCAGACCCTGCAGCAGAAGTAACCAGTCACACACACTTCAAAGAGTCACACACTCTTCAGGCAGTCCACACATCCTATCACAGCACCTAGATCTCTCTGTTTTGGCCACGCTACATCCCTTTTAGGTTTATCTTTATCTCTCTTTACTTTTTCTTTTGAACTGTTTTATTCCTTATTGACAACTGTAACAAGTCATTTTATAGGATTCCTGTGAGCTCGCACTGACTATTGGGTAAAAAAACCTTAACAATCATTTTGTCTTTCTGAGACTTCTAAAGGCCGGTATTTTGGCATTTTAGCTTTTAACCGTCTATGGCAGGGCTATTCATCTAAATTGCTCCTGGGGCCACGGTTACTGCAGATCAACAGCTGAGGGGCCGAACATCCAGCAATTAAGGTTATTCTGTAAACAAACCAAGTATCACAAAGATCTGTTACTTTTGAAATAGTTTATTTTGCTGCATTTAATCATTAATACAACATACAGAACTCTGTGTAATAAGAGCAGTGATAATAAAACAATATCAAAACAAAAATAACACACTATTTAACACATTATTTTGACATCTCTGACCTGCCAAATTTAAAAAAAAAATTATTTTCATTTTCATAGTTTTATCGTCAACTGTTTGTAGTTTTAACTGTCTTGGATGTTCATAGAGAGGGATTTTAATAGCTTATAGCCAAGATTCTGATGTTTCTGTAGATACCAAACATGTCTATGTTTAACTAAAATAACTTATCGGAGTTAAAGTGGAAAACTGGGGGTTTGGTTTTAAGAGATGAATAAACCAGTTGGCGGGCCGAACTTTGGTCACTCGCTGGGGCCGCCAGTTGAATAGCCCTGCTCTATGGCATGGTGTTGCCCTCAGGCAATGCACCTCTATTTTGGCTGTAAGAAAGAATAAATCAATTGATGGAATAAATTTGTCATTCAGTATATTCAGGTCAGCTGACTTCATTCTTTGTCAATGTCAATTTTATTTGTTTAGCACATTAAAACAACAAAAGCTGACCAAAGTGCTTCACAGTTCAGTCAAGACTTATAAAAAAACAAATAATAAATACAAATACAGAAACACAATATAATATACGAAAAAGCTCTAATTGAACATCCAACTCAGTCTTATACATAAGCCAAAGAAAATAAATGGGTCTTCAGCAAAGATTTAAAAGCCTCAATATTATTAAAGAGCTCCCCGATTAGTTGTAACATTAGACTTTATATGATAAACATATACTTTAACTGTAAAATAAAGACTGTAAAAATACTGTAGGCTGTTTAGTTTTTATAATTTTTAAACTAAAAGTTAAAAAATATATTACACGGACGGGGCCATTTTATTTACACACAAAGCATTCTGGGTAAATGATGACATCAACTAGGTCATCGGTGCGAGGCTGCTAGCGAGCTATATCCACCCTGAAGGTTAATCTTGGACAATATCTGATGATCGACTCTTTTAAATGAAACCAGAGAGCGTTGACAGAGAGGAGAAGGTAGAAATGACTCAGCCTGTAACTGAAAATATGGATGGAGGACAACAGAGCTGCTTCATGGAAGAAGAACCTCAGCTTAGCCTGTTAGYTTTAGCGTTAGCCCCTATCACCATATATATGTATTAGCTCAGTGCTACACATTCTCTCATCACTGAGGTCCTCCATCCACATGACAGAGAGGGGAACATAAAAATGACTCAGTCTGCAACTGAAAATATGGATGGAGGACCTCAGTTTAGCTTGTTTGTCGCGCTAGCGCCGTGCTAATACGTATAAGGCAATATGGCATGGGCGCTAGTGCAAAGGCTGAGCTGAGGTTCTTCTTCCATGAAGCAGCTCTGTTGTCCTCCATCCATATTTTCAGTTTCAGGCTGAGTCATTTCTACCTTCTCCTCTCTGTCAACGCTCTCTGGTTTCATTTAAAAAAAGTCGATCATCAGATATTGTCCAAGATTAACCTTCAGGGTGGATATAGCTCCCTAGCAGTCTCGCACCGATGACCTTGATGTCATCATTTACCCAGAATGCTTTGCGTGTAAATAAAATGGCTCAGTCTGTGTTGCAATATATTTTAAAAAATTGACAAAACTGAACATCCTACAGTGTTTTTACAGTCTTTATTTTACAGTTAAAATAAATGTTTATCAAATAAAGTTTAATGTTACAACTAATCATGGATCCCTTTAAGAGGCAGACTGTTCCACAGCTTTGGAGCAGCTATTGCAAAAGCCCAGTCACCTCTAGATTTCAGTTTGGATCTAGGAACATCTAACAGAAACTGGTTTGTAGATAAGTGCTTTGACTGGATGTAAAGAAGATCACATAAATATGACGGGGCCAGACCATTAAAAGCTTTAAAAGCCATCAATAAAACCTTAAAATCAATTTGCAGGTGAACAGGAAGCCAATGTAGAGAAGCAGGACTGGGGTTATGTGTTCATGCTTTTTAGTACCTGTTAAAAGATGAGCTGATGCATTCTGGACAGTCTGTAGGCGATGCAGCAATATGTGCTCAACTTCTTTGAGCACATATTGTTAGACCTGACCAACGTCTGCAACCCCACATCATAGCACTGCCCCCACAGGCTTATACAGTAGGCACTATGATGGGTGCATCACTCTACCTGCCTCTCTTCTTACCCTGATCACTCTGGGATAGGGTAAATCTGGACTCATCAGAACACATGACCTTGAACACGATTATTTCTGCGATGTTTTCTCGGCTTGATGCATGCCAGTGGTTTGACTCTTCTCAAACAGACTGACATCTTTTCCACGACCACGAGATGAGTCTTTCCACATGTTTGTTTAAGAAATAAGCACCTCATTGCACCAGTTGGGGTTAAATAACTTGTTGCCAGCTGAAAGATAATCATTCATGCAGTAATTATCCAACAGGAGGCTCGTATCTAATTGCTTAGTTAAATCCAGGTGGTGACTTTTCTTTTGGCCAGGCAATGTATTTTTGATGTACAGTATACAGCATTTCCATAACAACTGAATGTAAAATATTTACTTGTTTATGGTATAGAATTGAACTATGTGCCTGGAAAATACACAATAGTCCCCTTTAAGTGCGTTTCTAATAAACGTCAGCCTAATTTTAGCTGCGTGGACGGAAAAAACTTGCAGAAACATGTTAAATCTCAAATAAAGTAAACTAAAGAAGCTAAATAATAATTAAACTAAGCTGTAAATTTATTGAGCAACAGATGAAAGTCCAATAGTTGGGTTTAAATCATCGTGTTCAAAGGCATAAACGGCCAAATGCCAGATGACGTCATAGCAGCTATGAACTTCTTTTATATAAAATTTATGTTTAACAATGATGGATGGCTGTCATTAAGAAAACATTGCTGCCAGTTTGTCCCAACAGAAAAGTGAGATCCAAGTTTCCATAAAGCTTTTCCTCATAAAACAGTTATTAAAAAAACACCCATAAAACTTTAAACAGGGCAACCTTCTACTTCAAATAAAACCTGTATTTTCTTGTATGTTGAATTTATATGACAGAAAGGTTTGATGTGAGCACAGCAAAACTTTAGAGGCATTTAAATTGAAACGTGAATAATATAAAGAAGGAAAATACAAGAAAACCTTGTAAATGGCATCATCAATAAAAATTCATAATCATAACTAAAGACAAATGTCTATTTAGACATGTCACAGTACTGATCTGCTTCTTTGGACCTTTATTGGACCTGATTGGTTAATGACTTATTAATGATGTCATGATAGAACCATAAACAGGTGCAGCTTTCCTCTGGGTACTCCACTTTTCTCCAACAAACCAAAAACTATATTGGTTCTCAACTGACCTTAGGTTCTTATAGGTGTGAGTTTGTGTGTGTTTGTTTGTCTCAGTTTCCCTCCTTTGGCCCTGAATTGACTGGATGATGGACAGAAGAAGGTCTGATGGAGTCTTCTCTTTTGGGTAAAGCACACACACTTGGTTTTGATTTAAAGAAACACCACAGTTTTAAGAGGTCACCATTTCAAAATTACTGTAACTGATCATCATACAGTTGACTTCTCCAATGTCAGAGACACACAGATCTGACTTTTTACACTTCATCTGCAGTGTAGAGGTGGGGTGGGATCTCAACTGTTCCCCTCATTGGAAAGATGAAGATGATTAATTTGCATTGAAACAAATATTTGCTACAATTTATGAGTTTTATTATGTAGTCAGTTAAAGACTGGACACTGGTGAAGGCAACACAATCTATTTAACCAGCTTTTTCCCTATTTCATGTACAAAGTATTTGCCTCGGGTGGCGGAGTTGGGGTATCTGGGCGTGATGTTCCTGAGTGATGGTTGGATGGAGCTGGAGATGGATCAACAGATTGGAGCCTTGCCCAGTAATGAAGGCATGGCTTCTTTAAGTCATGATGAAGAAGGAGTTCAATCAAGATTTACTTGTGTTACAATGGAGATTGGATCAAAGTTGAAAGAACCACATCCTGGATACAAACAACTGAAATTATCTTCCACCCTATGCTTTAGTGTTGTAGTCAAGACCACCTAACCCGAGACCAAGTCAAGACCAAGACCACAGTGTCTCAAGACCGAGACAAGACCGAGTACAAATGCTGTCGAGTCCGAGACAAGACCAAGACTATCAAAAAGTGGTCTTGAGACCGGTCTTAAGACCAAGACCTGTTTCAAGTACAACAACACTACTATGCTTAGCCTTAAAGATGGTGTGAGATGCTCTGTCTTCTGTAGAGAGCTTGGAGTAGAGCTCCTTCACAATGTGAGAAATTGGTTAAGGGTGTTCATCTGATTAGGATGTCTTCTATAGGCTCCCTGTACAGTTTTATTTTTTATTTGTTTTCCCCATGGTAAGCAGCCCAGGGGCAGAGCGAGAACTTGCTGGAGGGATTGTCTCCTCTCTGGCCTGGAAACACCTCGGGGGACCCCAGGAAGACCTGAAAAGTGTCCCTGGGGTGAAGGAGGTCTGGGTTTTTCTCCTACACATGTTGCTTCCATTACCAGGCCAAGGATATGTGGTAGAAGATGAGGATGTATAGGGAGATTGGGATTAAAAACAAAGACTATTAGTTGCTTTTACAGAAATTGAGTGTAAGTTTGATGTAGTGGGCACTGAGTGTTGTCTCTAACATATAAACGGAGTTTTCGATCTGAACCTGAAAATGACTATAGTTTCATATTTACTCAATATTAAAGTGTCTTTGTTTCAAAAGCTTGAAATGAAGGGTGGTATACTACAATCATTCCTTCAACCAACCAACCAATCAATCAACCACATTTTATTGATATAGTTTTTTACAACAGTGACTACTGAATCAAAGTGCTTTCCATTAGTTCAGTAATAAAAACAAGGTAGAACTTGATGTCAAAGCTTCGACTTGTATGCCTCCGCCTGCCCTAGACTCATCTGCATTTAAAGTACTTTGCATGCAGTTACCTATTGACCTCTGTTTTTGGACTTAAAGGGGCAATATCATGTAAAATGAACTTTTTTGTGTTTTATATCATGTTATAATGTTATACTCTCATAAAAAAACATGCCCAAAGCCTTGCTCTGACTCATTCATGCATGTTTGAGAAATCCTGCAGTGTTTTTAGGAAGCCATGCTGAGGAGCAAAACGGCAGGTGGGGACCAGAAACGCCTTTTGGGACCAGAAGTATCTCTGGAACGTGTCTTTAAGCCAAGCTTCCTCATAACGGAGCACACCTCCCCACCCCCCACCCCACATACCCTGCCCATGACTCCTGCAGGCTCTCGGCAGTAACAAAGCAAACGAGTGAAAGTGAAAGTGAAACTTAAACTGTCTGCTGCTCTTAACACTATTTCTCACTCAGTGAAGCTCTTTTCAGATTCAAAATACCTTTGAGGAAATGTATTTTCAGATGCCAAGTAAACTGCATCATACAAGTCCAGGAGGAGGGGTGGGGGGGTAGGCCTACATAAACATTTGAGATGTGACAAAGTGTTGTCTGTCATCATGAAAAGGGGGAAAAACACCGATGTGGCATGAGTCACTCTCACCTATCTACACTTTCCTCAAGCTGCTGCTCATCTCCTTCGACCCAGTGTGTTGGAAACACTGTACACATAGATTCCCTCTTGTAAAAGAAGCCAGCCAAAATGAAGTGATGCCAAGCATGAATAAATCAGAGTTCCAAGAACTAGATAATACCCAATGAGACGCTGATGCATGCATGGCCTTGTATGACCTGCAGAAACGTGTCAACAAGTGTGAAACGGGTACGTTCAGCCAGAAGGAGCTGAACTGGAGCTTTGATGAGCCAAAAGTCCTGCCATGTGGCAAACTCCTGTGTTCTACAGGATCGCTGAGTTCAACTTCCTGAAGTGGATCAAACAGGTCCTGCCTTAAAAAGCAGAACATCAGCTTGAACTCTGTTCACACCCTGCACATGAGTTGGCCAGGGTTTAGGTTCACACCATTCTGTTTGACCAGTTTATAACAAGTAAGCCTACCAATGTCCTCACACATCTTTTGATGTTGATTAGCAGATGAAGTGTGTGGCCTCAGGTAGAGAGCTGATTTATTCCTGATAGAGAAATGTTGGCCAAACCTTTGAAGGGCCCTCAGGTCAACAAAACCTAATCTTTTCAAAAGTTGGACAAAGATGTTAGTCAAGCTTTTGAAGGTTTCAAACATTTCTTTGAAACAAATGAGCTTGGTGTTGAAAGCCAGAGGTACATATTATCACAGAACTGTCAGTGGGAAATGATGTGTGGTTTTCAGTGTTTTATGTTCATATTCATATTGTGTTTTTATAGCTTTATAATAATAATAAAACAACACCAACAACAACAACAACAACAATAATAATAATAATAATAATAATAATAATAATAATAATAATAATAATAATAATAATAATAATAATAATAATAATAATAATAATAATACCTTTCTTTAATTCTATGACATGATAGGGTTAGGAATAGCTAGGTGCATTTCTCTATTCATGCAGTGGAGGTTCACTCATCTATTCATTCATTTTCTTTACTTCTTCCCTTCTTGTTTCTGTCCAGGTCATGAGGAGCTGGAGTCTCATGTACAAACGGTGCAGACACACAGAAAGGTTGCATCCAAGACATGATGATATGTGTGTAAAAATTTTGCAAACCCTCAAAGACACTTTACAAATTCCAGCATCAGTCATTCACACACCAATGATGGTAACAATGTAGCCACAGTTGCCCTGCGGCAGATTGAGAGAGGCTGCCCAGCTGCGCCACCAGCCCCTATGACCACCATCAGTAGGCTAGGCAGGTGTTTTTCCCAAGAACACAACGACTGAGACAGCTGGAGCAGGGAATTGAACAGGCAACCGACCAATTACAGGATGACTCCATTAATCACTCTACCACAGCTACCACAGTATCAAACTACAAACTACTGAAAAGCACCTAAATATGACTCCATCCAGTTTTCCGATCTTGAGGTTTTTGAAATGTCATACTGTCCTAATCTGTGTTTTTCTATTCATTATTTTCCCAGAGTTTATTTTTACACTTTTTCTTTTATGTTTCTGTCTGTGTTCTGGGTTCTTGTGTTTTGAGTTCTGTTACATGCTCCCCATGTCGTCAGTTTTCCTCAGTCTCCTGCTCTTGCCCCGCCCACTCCGACCTGATCCTTGTTGTTCTTTCCCCAGGCGTGTGTCATTGTTCCTAATCAGTATTCCTTTTTATTCTATGCATCTCTGTCAGTTCCCTTTTTGGGCAGAACAGGAGACCGTGGTCTCAGATTTGGAGGCACTGATCCTCATCCTGGCCGCTTCACACACGGCTGCGAACCGCTCCAGTGAGAGCTGGAGATCACGATCTGATGAAGCCAATAGGACCACATCATCTGCAAAAAGCAGAGATGTGATCCTAAGGTCACCAAAAAGGATCCCGTCAACACCTTGGCTGCACCTAGAAATTCTGTCCATAAAAGTTATGAACAGAATCGGTGACAAAGGGCAACCTTGGCGGAGTCCAACTCTCACCAGAAACGAGTTAGACTTACTACCGGCAATGTGGACCAAGCTCTGACACTGGTCATACAGGGACCTAACAGCCCATATCAATGGACCTGGTACCCCATACTCCCAGAGTACCCCCCACAGGAGTCCCCTGAGGGGCACGGTTGAGCGCCTTCTCCAAGTCCACAAAACACATGTAGACTGGTTGGGCCAACTCCCATGCACCCTCCAAGACCCTGCTGAGGGTGTAGAGCTGGTCCACTATTCCACGACCAAGATGAAAACCACACTGCTCTTCCTGTTCCTAAACATGAACATATCATTTTTTAAAAGAAGTTGGAAAAGATCAGAAATCAGAACAGACGTACTTAAAACATTATCCCAGTTTTGTCAACTATAAACACGATTTATGTCTTATGCCTGTTACAAAACACTAAACACATTTACTACCACATTTACTTTAAAAACAGAAAGACATCATGAGAACTTTCAAATGACCAATCTGCTCTGCTCCAAAACTGGTTTCAACAGCGTTCACAGATTACAGTCTAATACCTTCCTGCATAGTTATTTGAGAAATGGAAAATTTTTGTGAGCAGAAAAATGTAGCATCTGTGCAGGGACGGATTTGGCAAACAAAATTGTTCTTCCCATGATGCTTCTGAAATGATGACATTTCCTGAGATGTTGATGAAATATTTTTGGCCAAATCTGTTTGTTTTGTTCTTCTCTACAGTTTTTACAAGTGAGTTGGGCATGCTATTTTTTTTTAGTGTCTGGCACAAAGGATTGCTGAGCTTACAGAAGAAATGTTTTGTTCTAACTTCTAGGTTAACTGAATTGAGAAAATTCTAAACTATATATGTTTCCACCAGTCTGCATAAACCAATGAGATTATATGAAAAATATTTGTTTGATTTAGTGATTAAATCTAACTTTTATAAATGACTGTTATTTCTTTTACAAAAATGTTTTATTTTGCAAAGAATTTTCATGTTCTGTTATTTTTCAGAAGATTTTTTAAAGAAAGCTTTGTTCATGTAAAAATACACGTAAGCAAAACTCATATTGAATTCACATTGTTATGTAATAATCTCTGTAGCACCAAAAAGGAAAAAAGCTAACCACAAGAGGTTTTTCAGGTTAAATAAATACACATATACATACATTTAACCACAGAACCTCATTATAAAACCAGAAGAAAAGCTGTCAAACATAAAACGATCATTTTAAAAACAAGTCCATACACATTTTTTCTAAAGAGGAGCAACATTTGAATGAATTAGACTTCTCAGGAGTTTTGATGTGGATATAAATTAGTATTTGCTGTCAGGCATCTTGAATTTACTGCTGTGATGTATCCTTGATCTTGGCTGATGAAAAGAATGTTGTCAGAACGATATAAATAGCGCATCTACACCTAAAAGTCTAAATGCTCTATAAAATTTAATAGCAAAGCTTGTTGTCCTCTTGTTAATTACTCAAATTGTCTGCTCAATGTCGGATTTATAGTCATGTAATGAAACTCAAACCTCTATTAAATAAATGAAAGCAGTGGGAATAAAGGGCCCAACACACTCCATCTGGAGCCAGTCGGCTCGTAGTCACATGGTTGTGAGATTTTTTTTCATACACACCTTTCATAGTCCATGAAATACACGGTGCAGAGCTTCTGGGAAAGCCCTCCTCTGCTGAACATGGCACGACACGGGTTTTTTTTTCACCAGGGTTTCCACTCCGTCCTTGCATTAACAGTTTAACCACAAATCTGCTACAAAGACAGACTCCTCTGTGAAAAACATCTGTACTATCTCCGTCTAAGAGATTTTGACCATTTGACTACCTTTACAAGCGTCTGGAAGAGTCATCTAGATGGATGATTTTTCTGACGGCCTCAGACAACTGCTCCTCAAAACTATCAAACTAGCATAACCGCTGGTTTCTGGAAGCTGTCAGAGTGGTTTTCGAAATAAACAAAAATGCCCATGAACGTCTGACCAATCACACAATACTTAGTTTGCACATACTCCTGTGAGAAAAAAGGTTTGACCCGGGTTCTTGTGTTCTGAAGGGGTGAATGAAGCCACTCCAAGAACAAAATCGCACAACCACATCAATGAGAATTGATGTCACTGCTTCAGCCGGACAGGAACCTTACAAATGGCAGAGTTGTTGTCTGTCATCCGAATAAATGACTGGCTTGTCCCTAACTGAGAAACCGGTCCAAATAACCCAGTCCTGTCATCTCTTTGTAGAGGTGACCATAATCATGGAGGACAGTTCTATCTTACCTATGTGTTTTAACAAGACTCATTAGTTATGCTCTTGTCTCACAGCTGAAGGTTGATAAAGAGTGAAGATTATCCTGCTAGTTTATGTTCCACTAACAATCACAGAGTATTACTACATATTGTTGTGTCTATAAAGATCATGAACATTGGACAATTATAAATATTACACTCTATCCCCATTCATTCATACATAAATGCAAACTCAGTTCTGAACTGCTAACAGACAAAGGCTCTATGACTCTGTGGTTCTGTGTGCCAATACTTCCAACTTTCTTATTAATCTGATTCAATATTTTGGTATTGCAAAGCAAAGACAGGACTTGGAAAAACACTCCGTCAGTCCATCGGTGTAGTGAGCTGAATAACTTAAAAAATAAGTCACTTACACTTTGATGTGTGGCTACTCGATTCTATAGGAGTCACAACAAGGGGTGAACCCAAACAAAAGATTTGGCAACTATTTTATGCTGGATGTGCATCCTGGTGCAACCTGGACTAAAACCTGTAACCTCAGGATCATGAAACCTCAGCACTGAACACAGGGCTACAGCAGCCTCTATTCTATTTTTGATTTCATTTCATGTCATTGATTTATTTAAAAAGATAGTAAACAATGATCACTATTCAAAGAACATAAATGTAGCAGAGTGAGCACAACGGTTAAATTTCATTCATCGTCACAAACACAATGTAGCGATTTTGTTATTTTGTTGGCTGATTTCCCTCTACACCTCCTTGAATAGAAGGGGCAGAGCCACATCTACTCACCCTGTTGCCGATCCTGGTTGATGACGTCGCTTGGCATAAAAGCACTTGTTGCACAAATTCCTCGCTGGAATATTACGGGATTCTGGTAACAGTAGTGACGGCCTCTGAACATTGTGCTTTAAATCTCTAAGTAACTTTGTATTCTCTGTATTTTGCAAGACACCCTGTGGATACACACTCTTGCCTTACCGGTGCCCCTGGACCCAACCTTCAACCTTCTTGGCCTCTTACCTGGATCAGCTCTCAGTGTTCCATCCTCTCTCCATCTCATCTCATCCTACTTCCTACACTTACCTCATGTCTACTGACCTCCTGGAACCTTGGTACCCTCCTCTCCAAGCCAATCTCCTCATCAGTCACTATAATCAAAGAACACAGATCAATTCTGAGTTTAATTATCTTCAGTCATCTCCAGACTTACTGACCAGTTATCTCTGTCTCTCATGAGACAAAATACATTCAATGTAAATGAAGTTACTTACCTTTTCTGTACGGTCTCCCTCATTGTTGGCTGAACTTTTCTGGGTGCTCTTTTTGTTAATCCTGATACTAAATAAAAACCTTTTATAGAATAAGTCCTAAATCATTCCATAAAACAAAACATACGAACATCACACTCTAAAATTTCATGAGTGTGTGCGTGCACATTTAATCTATTGGAGTACACATTAGAAAAGGAAATTTATTTTTATTGATAATTCTTTTATATTATTGTAAGTCGATCATCTGTCATGGTCTATGTTTATTTTCTTTAACTTTCTAGTGTTTTCAATGTTCCCCTGTGTTGCTCTGCCCTTCAGCCCCGCCCACGCACACCTGATCCCTCTTGTGTTTCTGATTTGTCTCTTAATTTGTTTGCCTTTATATTTGGTGTCTTGTCCTCAGTCTGTATCCGTTCATTGTGCTGTTTACATAGCCATTGTGGTGGTCTCTGTGTTCCTGTTCTCCTGAGTTTTTGAGCTGTCCTGCCAGCCTTTTTATTTTATTAATAAATCTTTTGTTAAACTTTGGATTTTTGCCTGCGCCCTGAGTTTATCCTGCCTGCAGCTCACATCATCATCATTGTTTATTTATAAAGCACAATAAAAACCAAAGTGCTGTACAGGTGCATAAAATAAAAACAATGAACAAAGTACAGTAATAAAATGAACAATAAAATCAAACAAAACAGCAAAGGCTGGCCTAATGATCCTGCTCTTCAGACTCAAATGCCTGTTTAAACAGATGAGTTTTTAATAGACTTAAACTCAGAGACCCAGCAGACCTCACAGACAGAGGGAGATTGTTCCAGAGCCGAGGTCCCGCAACTGAAAAGGCTCTATCTCCCCTGGTCACAAGCCAAGACCTGGGAACAACTAAAAGCTTTTGATTTACAGATCTCAGGGATCTATTTGGAATGTGAGGCTGTAAAAGCTCAGTGAGATAATTAGGTGACAAACCATTTAGACATTTAAAAACTAAAAACCAAATCTTAAAAACAATTCTAAAACAGGCAACCAGTGAAGAGAATGCAAAATCGGAGTGATGTGTTCGCGACGTCTTTTCCCTGTTAATAAACGGGCAGCTGAGTTCTGAACCAGCTGTAGACGAYGAACCAAAGACTGATCCATCCCACAATAAATAGAGTTGCAGTAGTCCAGTCTAGAAGTGATAAAAGCATGAATTACCTTCTCAAGTGCATTATGAGGCAGGTAATCTTTGACTTATAAGTCTCAAATGATAAAAGCTAGACTGGACTACTGCACTGACCTGTTCTTTAAATTTAAAATCAGAATCCAAAAACACCCCAAGATTTCTAACAGACACACGGCCAGACAAGGGGTCCAGTGGTCCAACAGCACTACTGCATCCTGTCAGTTTATCAGAGTTACCAAATAAAATGACCTCTGTCTTTTTATCATTAAGATAAAGAAAGTTCAGGTCCATCCATGCGCTTGCAGCTTTTAAGCATTCAAGTAGCCTATTTACAGACTGGGATCCGCTAGATCTTAATCTGAATGTCATCAGCATAAAAATTGTATGACACGTTATATTTGTGAAAAATAGATCCCAGGGGGAGCAAGTACAATGAAAATAAAATTGGCCCTAAAATGGAGCCTTGAGGTACTCCATACTGAAGGTGAGCAACAAATGAAAAAAACTGTCCCAACTGGACCGAGAAGCTTCTGTTGGACAAGTAGGATCTAAACCATTTTAAAACTGTACCTTTCATACCAACAGAAGTCTCCAGCCTTGATATTTAAATGTCATGATCTACTGTATCAAATGCAGCTGTAAGATCAAGAAGAATTAAAACAGTAGATTCACCAGAGTCAGCAGTTAAAAATAAATCATTGCACACCCTGAGAAGTGCAGTTTCAGTGCTGTGACAAGACTTAAACCAGACTGAAACTTCTCATAAATATCATTAAGACATAGGTGCTCATGTAGCTGAATAAAAACAACCTTCTCTAAAAGTTTTGAAAGAAAGGGCAATTTAGAAATTGGCCTAAAGTTTGACAGAACTGTAGGATCCAAGCTGCTCTTCTTAAGAAGTGGTTGGACCACAGCATGTTTAAATGCTGCTGGAACACAACCTGAAGAAAGAGGTGTTAACAAAATTTAAAATCCATGGACCTACAGAATTAAAAATCTCCTTCAGCAGCCTAGGTGGAACACTGTCACCAGGACAATGTGAAGGCCTCAGCTTCAAGGCTATTTCAGAAACCTCAGATAAGGACACAGGTTCAAAATGATCTAAAATAGCTGAGGAAACAGGAGGCAAAGCAGGATCAGGAGTGCAATGAGTGGGTAAAAACCTGACAGCACGGACTTTTTCATTAAAATATGTTAAAAACCCTTCACAAAGTAAAACAGAGGGAGTCAAACAAGAAGAATCAGAAGGATTCAGGAGAGAATTCAAAGAATCAAAAAGAATCCGAGGCTTGCTAATRTTTACAGACACTAAATTACGAATAAAATTAGCCTTGGCAGTTCTGACAGCGGCCTGATACTCCGTTAAGCTGTGTTTGAACATTTCCATGGAAACGTGAAGCCTGTCCTTCTTCCACTTTCTCTCCGCCCTCCGACAGGTGCGTCTCAGTGTGCGAGTGAGTTCATTCAGCCAAGGTGACACTCGTTTTGTCTTAAAAGGAGCAATATCGTCCAAAATAGCMGAGCAAACGGAGTTAAAATCATCCAGAAGCTGGTCAACATTTCCACCGATGTTAAACTCCGCTGAGGAAAGCTGAGAGTCAATAAAAGCAGCTGAGAACTGCGACGCTGTCTGAGTGTTAAAAATGCGACGTGAGCGCACAGCTTTGCGCTGATCCCGCACAGATGTTAAAATATTAAATTCAAATAAAACAGGTCGGATATACCTGAGTCACAAATCTCTGACTTCTCCCTGTAGCCCGTAAGTTAAAACCAAGCCCAATGTGTGACGCTTTTCATGCGTGGAATCACTTGCAATCTGTGTAAAATTAAAAAGAACTAATCAAATTTTAAAAAATCACTTACAAGTGGCTTATTTTTACAACAGACATGTATGTTAAAATCACCAACAATTAAAATCTGATCATAATCTAAAATGATCATAGATAAAAAGTCATTTAATTCAGAAAGAAAAAGTCCATCTCATTTTGGCGGCCTGTAGATGACTACACACAACACTGGAGAGTCGCATTTTATTTCTACTAGTTGTGCTTCAAAGCTGGAATAACTGTCCACTAGAAGCCATCGACATATAAAACAAGATTTGTGGATGGCAACGACTCGTCCACCTTTTCCAGAAGACCGGGGAGCACTGAAAAACCCGCACTCAGGAGGGAAAAGTTCGGAAAATGGAGTAAAATCCTCGGATCGAAGCCATGTCTCTGTTAAAAACATAAAATCCAGCTCCCGAGAAATAAAGAAATCATTCAAAATAAAAGTCTTATTTGCTAAAGATCTAGTATTAATGAGGGCTGAGTTGATGGCCGTCTCATCCTTGGCCGCAGTCGAGGCCCTGCGCAGTGGCCGGAGGTTGGTGAGCTCCACGCCGCGTCCAACCTGCTGACACCTGCGGAGAGGTGGAACCGCCACGGGCAGGTGCGCCCAGGTCTTTGCAGGTTCAGGGACCACAGGCAGGATCCAGTGAGAAGACAAGCAGCAGCTCCCGGTAGATCGGAAATCCTCTCTCTGAAGAGCCTTGATCCGGACAAGGACGCCAGCTCGCTTCCCTCGTCTCCAAGGACACTTTCTCCGTGGTATGCAGAAAGGTGTGCGCCACAGGTAGCTGGGTATATCCGTAAGGAAAGGYGGAGAATTGTTTGCACCAGCAGATTTCCACCTCCATAAAAAAGACTAATGATGCTGCCTGATGTCCAGAAGCGTATGGCAATTACAAGTCAGAAGAGCAGTCACATCATGGCAACTGATTAAAAGCGATAACAGGGCAAAATAGTAACAAATAAAACCAAAAAGCAGAGGCAGACGACGAGCCGCACACTGGCGCCATCTTGCCACGTCGACGTAAATGTCAATACACATCTTTTTTTTCTGTGTCACTTCAGTAGAAAACGAAACCAAATATTATTTTATTTAGTTTATTTATTTCTTCATCATCAGTGACTTTTTTAAGTGAAGAGAAAATAGAGACAGAGAGAAAACCAGAGAGAGAAGTAATTAGAAAGATAGAAAGATTGAAATAGCTATTAAGTATGCACTAAGAAAACACAGGACCACACACCCAACATCTGTCCGCTCAACTGAAAAATAAATGGATAAATACATGGAGGACATATATAAATATACAGTATACACATACCCATACATATATAAAGATATACATACATACATGCCTACATTCATAAATATTGTCAGTATATACACACAGACATATATACACACTCAGTGACCAGTCAGAACACCCCGGATCAGAACACCTGTCTGTGAGCGGTTGTGAACATGTGTGTACATACAAGATTTCTCCAATGGAATATTTAATAGTGACTGTGGAGGATCGGAGACCCAACCCCCAAGACACGAGGCAGACATAGGGAAGACCATAACCCAAGGGCCCGAGAGGGATCCCAAGCGCAGAGCCCCAAGGGGCACCCGCACGGAAGATCCGCCCACCCACCCCCCAGATCAGACCATAGGGGAGAACTGGGAGAGTCCCCCCAGCGACCACAGGCACAGCCCCCGGGTCCAGCAGTGACAAA